ATAAACACCAGCATAATCACCATCAAAACCACTGAAGAAAATCTTTCTGGGAGCCAAAGATATGAAGCTTCTAATAACTCAGATTCTGGTCTTGAAGTCTAAGAGGATTCTTCAAAGGAAAATGTATCATCAGATGCTTCCTGTGCTGATCACAAGCCAATACCTACTGATGATGGCAAATTACATGACCTATCTAATCTTTGGCTGGATAATCAACTGCTGAGAAATGAAGTTAAGTCTTTAAATAAAAAATGGCCTCATTACTTCAAAGAGCAAAGGAAATTAAAGAATTAAACAAAACCAGAGCAAGAGTTGAAAGTGAAATTTTGACCATTCAAAGAGTGACTGAATAATTTCAGAACTTTGAACCCAAGTAGGAGACCTGACTGAAGTGGTTGCAAAAGATTCCCAGCTGGCTATACTGAAAGTGAGAGTCCAAGAAGCTGACCAGCTACTGAATTCTCACACAAAAGCATTAGAAGCCTTACAGAATGAAAAATCACAGGAGACTGCATGAAATACATACTACCCTGAAGAGAGAGCCAGCAGAGCTATAAACTAATGCAAAGTCAGTGTGCTGCACACCTGAATAGCAGTTACTCTGCTATTCAGAATGGCAGAAGCAGTTACTCTGGCAGAAAGAAAATACTCAATATGAGAAGCAGAAAGTTGATGAGCTACAGCAGCAAGTCAAAATGTGCAAATCCAACTTGGAATCCTTTAGCAGAAATTGCTACAAGTAAAAAGCTATTAGCATCTATCTAAAGAGAAATTGATTAACAGCTTAAAAGAAGGATCTGGTTTTGAAGGCCTAGATAGCAATACTGCTAAATAGCACAGAGCTAGAAGATCTTCATGAAAAAGAGATGCAAAGCGAAGAAATGCAGAAGCTGATTGAGTCAGATACATCAGCTGAGTTCTGAATTACAAAATGTGGAAGCTCAGCAGGTTAGTGAAACAGAATCAACAAGAAGACAGTTACAAGAGCTGCAGGACCAAATAGCTGGATATATAGCATCTAAATAAGATCTAGAGAAATAATTGGACTGATAGAAGTGGAAATTTCACTACATAGAAGATCTGTGTTGAACAAAGAACACATTGCAAAGCAGAATTAAAGATTGAGAAGAAGAAATTTAAAAATTTAGGAATCAGCTTATCAATACAACTTTAGGCCAGTGATTTTCCACTGATGTGCCACAAGAATTTTTAAAACATGGAATACCTGACTATTTAGTCAGGGGCACTGACCTCTTTTCCCTTAGATTGTCAAATAAAAAATGACAATAGCCAACACAACAATAGCTGTCTGGTGTGAATGAATCAAAATTACACCTTTTTTTTTTCCTCAAATTGGCAAAAAACATAATATATTTTTTGGTATGTCATTGAATTTTAGTAATTAGTTTATGTGTGCCATGAAATGAAAAGGGTTGAAAATTGCTGCCTTAAGCAATAGTAGTCAGTCTGAGTTAGAAAATTGACTCCATCAGCTGACAAGAGACTCTGATCCACAAGCAGACCATGCACACAGTAAAGAACTTTCTGGTCTTCCAGCTGGAGCACTTCGAGCAGCAGATGAAATTTGCCACTGGAAGTAGTAGTAATGGGTCTTATGTTAAAATATCTGGTGTTGACAATGGTAAAGGCACACATCTATGAAACATTCCTATTTTTTCTTTAATGACACAGAAACTACTAATCTGGTAGGAATGTATGGAAAAGTTTCCAAAGCTACTAGTTTAATTGACCAATTTAGTATCTTCTGGGAATTTTTTCCCCCTAAGATATCCTATAGCACAAGTTTTTGTAATTGTGTATATATGGCTTTGCTTCACCTTTAGATCATGAATGTTCTATTGACTTACACACCAGAAATGCACCATTACCAACCACAAATGAACTGAACCTAGTTGTTTCAATGATTGGTTGTCTTGTTCCAGACTTGGGGTCTGCAAAAGGCTCAGTTGCCTAAAATTCCTGAGGAGGTTACACAAGATTATTTTATTACTTAAAAAAAAGGAAAGAAATTGTCCAAACTAGACCGGGAACCAACATAAGTGAGCACTAAATAAACCCGTTTTAAGAGCTGATGAGATTCCTTTAGAATATAACCCCTACTGAAAATGTACTTATAAATTATCCTAGAAAACCAAACCACTTCAACAGGGAGTTGATACACACAGGAAACAAAAGGAATGTCACTTTAAAGTTTGGAAGTACTATTATAGTCTGTAAAATAATGTTTAAAACAGTTAAAGAGCCCTGGCCAGTTTGGCTCAGCGGTTGGAGCGTTGGCCTGCGGTCCGGAGAGACCCTGGTTCAGTTCCCGCTAAGGGCATGTACCTCGGTTGCAGTTTGTCCCCGGCCCTGGTTGGTCGTGCGGGTGGCAGCCACTCGATGTGTCCCTTTCACATCGATGTTTCTCTCTCTCTCTCCCTTCCTCTCTCTCCCTCCCACTCTATCTGTACAAAAAATAGAAAAATGTCCTCAGGTGAGGATAAAAAATAAATAAATAAATAAATAAATAAATAAATAAATAAATAAATAAAACAGTTAAAGAGTTAGAAGTGGGCATAGAAAGCAGAATGAAGGAACAGAATGGAAATTTTGAAAAACTACAGCATGATGTTGAGACACAAAACAATCACAGGTACAAAATTACCCATATCCAAATGTCATTGCCACAATTTATTAGATAAAATAGAAGATAGAGCCCTGGCCGGTTTGGCTCAGCGGTTAGAGCGTCGGCCTGCGGTCTAGAGAGACCCGGGTTTGGTTCCCCCTAAGGGCACGTACCTCGGTTGCAGTTTTTCCCCCCCTAAGGGCACATACCTCGGTTGCACTTTTTCTCCCCCGGCCCTGGTTGGGTCATGCGGGAGGCAGCCACCTGATGTGTCCCTTTCACTTCGATGTTTCTCTCTCTCTCTCTTCCTCTCTCTCTCTCCCACTCTATCTGAACAAAAAATGGAAAAATATCCTCAGGTGAGGATAAAAAAAAAAAAAAGATAGAATACAGTGGCTGTGGTAATGTTAAGTGTGATTTCTTAAATCTAGATAATTTTATTTTATTTATTTTTTATCCTCCCCGAGGACATTTTTCCATTTTTTGTTCAGATAGAGCGGGAGGGAGAGAGAGGAAGAGAGGGAGAGAGAAACATCGAGTGGCTGCCACCCGCACGACCAACCAGGGCCAGGGACAAACTGCAACCGAGGTACGTGCCCTTAGCGGGAACCGAACCCGGGTCTCTCTGGACCGCAGGCTGACGCTCCAACCGCTGAGCCAAACCGGCCAGGGCTAAATCTAGATAATTTAGTGTACTTAATATCCTGAACTTTTATATAGAACACTTTAACACCATGATAATGCTTCTGACTCACAGATTAACAAGTTGGGTATTAAAGGGCCTGAAAATCTGGTGATAACTTTTTAAAATTACAATTTGGATGGAGTATGAGTAGAACTCACTAGGTATTTTTTTCCTCAAGTGGTCTTCTCAACTGATACCTGCCCTCTCCCCTAACTAACCAAGTGCAGTCTAGTCTGAGTCTAAGCATTCTTTCTCCAAACAGCCCATCAAGGAGGGGAACTGTTGATAATAGAATAGAATGTTTTTTTCTTTATTGATTTTAGAGAGAGAGAAACATCAGTAAGAGAGAGAACATCTATTGGCCACCTTTTGCATGCCCCTCACTGGGGACCAAGCCCAAAGCTGGACATGTGCCCTGACCAGGAATCAAACCAGCGACCACTTAGTGCATGGGTTGATGCTGAACCGTTGAGCCACACCAGCCGGGCTCAGTTTTGTTTTTTAAAGGCATATGTACATACATTTGAACTCAATGTCCTAAGTCTAGAGATATTCTCTAAGTGAAAGATACTTAAGTCCCCCAAACCTAGAAAACCTGTATTCTCTCTCTCTTTTTTTTTTTATCCTCACCTGAGGACATTCTTTTCCATTTTTTGTTCAGATAGAGTGGGAGGAAGAGAGAGGAAGAGGAGAGGAAGAGAGAGAGAGAAAGAGAGAGAGAGAGAGAGAAACATCGATGTGAAAGGGACACATCGAGTGGCTGCCACCTGCACGACCAACCAGGACCGGGGACAAACTACAATCGAGGTATGTGCCCTTAGCGGGAACCGAACCTGGGTCTCTCTGGACCGCAGGCCGACGCTCTAACCACTGAGCAAAACCGGCCAGGGCCCATATTCTCTTTTAAATTCATTTATTGTTAATATTTATGGTACTGAAACTCCCTGTCCCCACTCCAGCCCCCTTATTGCTTGAGTGATTTGCTGTTTCCGTGGCACTAATCTGGGGCTTTGGTCCTTACTTAAAAGTACTGTCTTCCCTTTCCTCCCAGTAGTTGATTCTGCTTTACTTTATAATAAGTGGTGGTTAGGTACAGATTTTTCATCTTGTTTTTAGATTATAAATACAGAAGTGCTGCTGGATTTTCCTGCTCTATTGTGCTTTCTTCCTACTTTTTCAACATTGACACACTTGTTGGAATTCCTACAAGTGTTGTTAATTGTAAGATTCGTAACAGAATTGTTTAACTTTCAGTAATTTGTTTTGGTAAATTTCTCTTTGGGGTTTATCAGTGTTTCTTGCATTGTTGCCAACTATATGCTAATTATAGTTCAGACCTGATAAAAATGAGTCCATTAAAAAATAAAAAACGAAACCATACCAATTGTTTTTTTAAATTTCCCTAGTTTTAAATTAGAAAATTTTAGTATGTTATTAACACACAATACTTTTAGTACTGAAAAAAATATTTTGAATACCTAAAATGGACCTTTATTTTTTTACTGTTAATTGTTGTGTAATTTCCTCAAATTAATTGGAAAAATCATTTACCTTTAACCCCGATCACTTGTTAAATTTTTATATACTCTTAAGATAGTTGGCAGCATTGTCCTTGCTTCTCTATTGGTTTGGGCTTATATAATGTCTTTTTCTTTTCTCCATTTTTTTGTTTTTCTTTTGCTTCCTAAGGACATGATGATACAGCGCCATGTGCAATTTTGAAAAGTATGGATAGTTTTAGCTTTCTCCAACACCCAGTCCACCAGAGGAGCTTAGAGATTCTGCAGAGGTGCAAGGAAGAGAAGTACAGTAAGGCTGAAAATCCTGATAAACTCTGTGTCATCACATATCCATTTGGAAATGGAAACCAGGAGCATTCTACACCAGGGTGGGACATAAATTATATAGGCAATGTGACCTCCAGAATCCTTTAATCAGTCTGTCTCAGGATATTTTTAACAAAACTTTAGTTTTTTCTCTTAAAAATGTTGATATACCTGTTCTTTTTTAAAAAATATGTTTTTATTGATTTTTTTTAGAGAGAGAGATAGAAACATCGATGTGAGAGACAAACATTGATTGGCTGCGTCTTGCATGCCTCCCAAATGGGCATGTGCCCTGACCAGGAATCAAATCAGGACCTCTCAGTCCATGGTATGACGCTCAATCCACTGAGCCACACCTGCCAGGCAATATACCTGTTCTTTTAACTTGAATGTCTATTTGCCTGTGATCCTTGAGTTGTTAATTACACTTGGTTACAGACTGTGATTTGATTTTCATTTTTTGGCCTTAAAGTAGCTGAGTCATGGGTAAAAATGCATAGTGATTTTCTTTCCTGCTGACTTTTTTAAAAAAAACTTTATTGAAATCTAATTGAGATAAAATAAATTGCATGCAAAAGCATAGAATTTGGTAAGTTTTTACATCTATATGAACTTATGAAGTCATCACCACAATCAGGGTGATTAATAAACCCAACACTGCCAAACATTTCCTCTGCCCCTTTCTAATTCTGGCTGATTTTTATGCTTGTTTATGCTGAATTTCAACATCAGCACTATTACTTTAGTGTATCATTGCTAAATCTCATGTAGTTTGATTTCAGTCCTCTTATCAGACTTTCCTATGTCTGGTTTAGAGCAAAGCTACCACATTAATGTTTTGACTTAAGAGTGACAGAATCATACTGAGTGTTTTTTTTTTTTTTCCCTTAAATAAAATAGGTGTGAAAAGATGCCCTTGGTCTCCATTTCCTCTTTTCTATTTGTTATACTCATTCTGCATAAAAATGGGTTCTTTTGCCTGTTATGGGATTATAGTTATTTGTCTATTGATAGAGTGAGAATAAAGGGATACTATAGAATACTTAAAGCGTAACTCAGAAATTAACTCAGAAATTTGCATAAAACAGATCTAAATTATTTGCATTTTCTCTTCTGAGCTTTTTACAGTTCACTGATATATTTTGCTAATGTCCCAGTTTTGTGATTGAAATTCCATGAAATTTTGGTATCCAATTCCCAATGAATGGAATTCCTAAAAGCAAATGTTATCAGTTTTTTCTTCAGTTCTTCTTATTTAACTGTCTTGGTATAAGAAAATATGTAATTCGTTTGGAAAAACATTATTTAAAATATTTTCTCTCTTTGAAAGAAAAAAGGTAAGTATTTTATTTATAAAACGACATCCTTAAATGTCATTCTTAATTATTGCTCTTCTTTCTAAAAAGTATACAAGTCCTTATTCCATGTATCCATCTTTCTAAAAAATCTTTCAATCCATGAACATTATTTAAAACTGTCTATAGATCTTTTGGGGGAGCTCAAATGAATTGTTTTTAACTTTTAAATAATTGCGAGTGGTTTATTTGCTTTGTTGATTTTCATGTCTGTCAGCCAGACAAAACTAGGCTTAATTGTGTTCCAGCTTAGTGTTGAAACATGTGGGCCCAAGACAGGAAATCACCAATTTCAGCATAGGCTGCATGAGGAAACTGTACATTTATCTGTGTTCATATGCAAATTTATTTCTACATTTGTGGAAGTTAGAGATTTTTCATTATTTTAGATAGTTTATTCCATTTTCCACTATAGTGCTAACAGTAATTAATATTTTATAATATATAAAATTATAAATTTATGTTCTAGAGATTACTTTTTTAAAAAATCAAGGGACTGCCAGCTTTAGATAATGGTAGATTGGTGAAGTGAATCAACCCTCCCTCAGGTAACAATGAAAAACCTGCAAAAAATTAAAAATAACTATTTGAAAGTACTGGAAAAAGACCCCAAAGATTAGAAGACCAAAAAAGAAGCAGAGACTTCCGGTCAAGATGGCGGGTAGGTAAACGCGGTATCACGTCCTCCCACAACCACATCAAAGTTACAACTAAACTACAGAGCAACCATCATTCAAAACCGCCTGACATCGAGCTGAATGGAAGTCCTACAACTACGGAATTAAAGCAGCAGCCACATCCAGACTGCCCATAAAGATTTGCATTTTCGAACCAAAAAATGGCGGCGGAGTGAACGGAGCTACACAGACCGTCTCCCGGAACCAAACTGGAATTACAACTATAACACAGACAAATCGACGGGAAAAACCAACAGAAAAGCAGCTTGCGAGAACCATACAATGAGGGACACTGACTTGATCCTGGTAGGATTGCGAAGGCGCGAGACTGGGCTGGAGCCCACGGTCGGCAGCTCGGCAGCGGCCTTATTGGGAGCAGCGCCCGCGGGTTACACTCCCAGGCGGCTCCACAGCGCAGAGCCGGGACAGAGGCTGAAACAGCCACAGCCACTCACCTTGGGCTCCGGCAGAGGGAGGGCGGACTGGACTGGAACTGTGTCGGGACACTCGGGGTTTGGAGGGTGCTCAGAGCTTTGGCTGAGTTGCTGCCACCCAGGACGGTGGCCACATTGCTCCTTCCCAGGGCTCTGAGGAGAGGCAGCAGCCCCTCCCTCGGAGATCCAACCCCACCCTGTGGGCCATTGAAGTGCTAATTGAGGCTCACTAACAACCAGCATCTGCCCCACCCTCGTGAAAGCCCCTTGGCTGAGCACCAGAGGGAGTTTTTCAATCAACTGACAACCCAAAACTCATCAAGTAACCCAGATTGCTAGCCTCCAGGCAAAAAGCTAGAGGATAAAAGTACCTTTCCTGGGCTGGCAACTTTAACCAGGAAATTAAGACTTGACAGTGGTGTTCAACATGGGTCCTCCCTCGCTCATCTAAACACAGGAGAGGGAGCCACAAACAGCAGAACACCAACACCCACAGGGAGAATTTGACAGGCTCCAAAGCCCACAGTGATAGCCAAAATGGTGAAACACAGAAACAGAAGCCAAATGAAAGAGCAAGAGACCTCCACCGAAGATGAGATCAATGTGGAGCAATTAGGCATGTTAACAGAGCTAGAATTCAGAGCCATGATCTTGAGGAAGCTGAACAGCATGAGTAAGGACATAGAGACACTGAAAATAAGCCAACTGGAAATTAAAAACCAACAAGGAGATAAAAAATGACATATCAGAAATGAAAAACACACTGGAAGGTTTAAAAAGCAGAGTAGAGGAAGCTGAGGACCGGATCAGTGAATTAGAAGACAGGGTAGAAAAAATCAACCAATCAGAAAAACAAAAGGAAAAAACTATTAAAAAACAGGAAGACAGCTTAAGAGAACTATGGGACAACTGGAAACGTAATAATATTCGCATCATAGGAGTCCCCGAAGAAGAAGAAAATGAGCAAAGGATAGAGAATATATTCAAAAAAATAGTGAGAGAAAACTTCCCTAATTTGGTGAAGGAAGAAGGCATTCAAGTTCAAGAAGCACAGAGAGTCCCAAGTAAGAAGAACCCAAACAGGCCCACACCAAGACACATAGTAATTCAAATGCAACAAATTAAAGACAAAGAGAGACTCGTAAAAGCAGCAAGAGATAAGCAACAGGTTACCTACAAAGGGAACCCCATAAGGCTCTCAGCTGACTTCTCACAAGAAACACTACAGGCCAGAAGAGAATGGCATGAAGTAATCAAAGTCATGAAAAACAAGAATCTGAATCCAAGACTACTCTACCCAGTAAGGCTATCATTCAAAATAGAAGATCAAATAAAGAGCTTCCCAGACAAAAAAAAAAAAAGGCTAAGGGAATACATTAGCACCAAACCAGCTCTGCAAGAAATGTTAAAAGGACTGCTGTAATTAGTAGAAGAAATAGGAAGAAAAACAGAACCAAACTAAACTAAAATGGCAATAAATAAGTACTTATCAATAATCACCTTAAACGTAAATGGATTGAATGCTCCCATAAAAAGACACAGAGTAGCTGATTGGATAAGAAAGCATGACTCATCTATATCTTGTTTATAAGAGACCCACCTCTCAACAAAAGACTCACATAGGTTGAAAGTGAAGGGATGGAAAAAAATTTTCCAAGCAAATGGAAAGCAAAAAAAAGCTGGGGTAGCAATTCTCATATCTGATAAAATAGATTTCAAAATGAAGACCATAACTAGAGACAAAGAAGGCCACTATATAATATTGAAAGGATCTATCCAACAGGAAGATATAACCTTGATAAACATATATGCACCCAATATAGGAGCACCAAAATATATTAAAAATCTTCTGGAGGACTTCCAAGGAGAAATCGACAACAATACAATCATAACAGGGGACTTCAACACCCCATTGACAGCACTGGATAGATCCTCTAGGCAAAAAATTAGCAAGGAAACAGAGACTCTAAATGAAGCACTAGACCAAATGGATTTAATAGATATCTACAGAGAATTACACCCCAAAACTACAGAATACACATTCTTCTCAAGTGCACGTGGGACATTCTCAAAGATAGACCACATGATAGGACACACACTAAATCTCTACAAGTTCAAGAAGATTGAAATCATATCAAGCATCTTCTCAGATCACAGTGGCATGAAACTAGAAATCAATTGCAACAAGAACATGCAAAGACATTTCAACACATGGAGGCTAAATAGCATGTTATTAAACAATGAATGGGTCACCGAGGAGATCAAGGAAGAAATTAAAAACTTCCTGGAAACCAATGAAAATGAACACACAACAACACAAAATGTATGGGATGCAGCGAAAGCAGTTCTGAGAGGGAAGTTCATAGCACTACAGGCCTACCTCAGAAAACAAGAAAAATTTCTAATTGACTGTCTAACCTCACAACTTAAAGAATTAGAAAGCAAACAAAAAGAAAACCCCAGAGCAAGTAGAAGGAAGGAAATAGTAAAGATCAGAGCAGAAATAAATGACATAGAGACCAAAAAAACAATTCAAAGGATCAATGAAACAAAGAGCTGGTTTTTCGAAAAGATAAACACGATTGATGGACCCTTAGCTAGACTCAACAAGAAACAAAGAGAGAGAACCCAAATACCCAAAATCAGAAATGAAAGAGGAGAAGTAACAACCAACACCACGGAAATACGAAAGATCGTTAACAACTTCTACGAACAACTATATGGCAACAAATTCGACAATCTAAATGAAATGGACAAATTTCTAGAAACACACAGTCTCCCAAAACTATTCCCGGAAGAGATAGAAAACCTTAACAGACCAATAACAACTAAGGAAATTGAAGAGGTAATCAAGACTCTCCCAGCAAACAAAAGCCCAGGCCCAGATGGCTTCACGGGGGAGTTTTACCGAACATTCAAAAAAGAACTAACACCCATTCTCCACAAACTCTTTCAAAAAATTCAAGAAGAAGGAAGACTTCCAAACACGTTCTATGAAGCCAGCATAATTCTAATTCCAAAACCAGAAAAAGACACTACAAAGAAAGAAAACTACAGGCCAATATCCCTGATGAACATAGACGCCAAAATCCTGAACAAAATATTAGCAAATCGGATCCAGAAATACATCAAAAAAATTATTCACCATGACCAAGTGGGATTCATTCCAGGGATGCAAGGCTGGTACAATATTCGCAAATCAATAAACGTGATACACCACATAAACAAAATGAAGAATAAAAATCACATGATCATATCAATAGATGCTGAACAGGCATTCGACAAAATCCAGCATCCATTTCTGATAAAAACGCTCAGCAATGTAGGAATAGAGGGATCATATCTCGACATAATAAAGGCCATATATGAAAGACCTACAGCCAACATCATACTCAATGGACAGAAACTAAAAACATTTCCATTAAGAACAGGAACAAGACAGGGATGTCCACTTTCGCCACTCTTATTTAACATTGTACTGGATGTCTTAGCAACAGCAATCAGACATGAAGAAAAAATAAAAGTGATCCAAATTGGAAAGGAGGAAGTGAAACTGTCATTATTTGCAGATGACATTATATTTACATAGAAAACCATAAAGACTCCATCAAAAATCTATTAGACTTAATAAATGAATTTGGCAAAGTAGCAGGATACAAAATTAACGTCAAGAAATCGACGGCATTCTTGTACACCAATGATGAACTCACAGAAAGAGAAACTGAAAAAACAATCCCATTTACCATCGCGCCAAAAAAATTACGATACCAAGGAATAAACTTAACCAAAGAAGTAAAGGACCTATTTGCAGAAAACTACACGTCATTGAAAAAAAGAAATAGAGGAAGATATAAAAAAGTGGAAGCACATACCCTGTTCATGGATTGGAAGAATTAACATCATTAAAATGTTCATAGTACCCAAAGCAATCTATAGATTCAATGCAATCCCCATCAAAATACCAACGACATATTTCAGAGAACTAGAACAAATACTTCAAAAATTCATATGGAACCAAAAAAGACCTCGAATAGCCACAGCAATCTTGAAAAAGAAGAACAAAGTAGGTGGGATCACAATACCAGATATCAGGTTATACTACAACGCGACTGTAACCAAAACAGCTTGGTACTGGCACAAGAACAGGCATATAGACCAGTGGAACAGAACTGAAAACCCAGAAATGGACCCAAGGCAATAACGCTCAATTAATATTTGACAAAGGTGGCAAGAGCATACAGTGGAGTAAAGACAGCCTCTTTAATAAATGGTGTTGGGAAAATTGGACAGCTACATGCAAAAAAATGAAACTAGACCATCAACTTACACCATACACAAAAATAAACCCGAAATGGATAAAAGACTTAAATGTGACCCGTGAATCCATAAAAATTCTAGAAGAAAATGTAGGCAACAAAATTTCGGACATCATACGGAGCAGAATTTTCATTGATACATCACCTAAGGCAACAGAAATAAAGGAGAAAATGAACACATGGGACTACATCAAACTAAAAAGCTTCTGCACAGCAAAAGAAACAATCATCAAAATGGAAAGGCAACCCACTGTATGGGAGAACATCATTGCCAATGATGTATCAGATAAGGGGTTAATCTCCAATATATATAGAGTGCTCATACAATTCCACAAAAGGAAGACAAAGAACCCAATTAAAAAATGGGCAGAGGAGCTGAATAGACACCTCTCCAAACATGACATACAAATGGCCAAAAGACATATGAAGAAATGCTCAACATCACTAATCATCAGAGAGATGCAAATTAAAACAACAATGAGGTATCACCTCACACCTGTCAGAATGGCCGCCCTCAACAAATCATCAAACAAGTGTTGGCGAGGGTGTGGAGAAAAGGGAACTCTAATACACTGCTGGTGGGAATGCAGACTGGTGCAGCCGTTATGGAAAACAATATGGTGTCACCTCAAAAAATTAAAAATTGATCTTCCATTTGACCCAGTGATCCCACTGCTGGGAATATACCCTAAGAAGCCTGAAACACCAATCAGGAAGAATATATGTACCCCCATGTTCATAGCAGCACTATTTACAATAGCTAAGATCTGGAAACAGCCCAAGTGTCCACCAGTAGACGAATGGATAAAAAAGCTGTGGTACATATACACAGTGGAGTACTATTCAGCGGTAAGAAAAAAAGATAAGCCAAGCAGAAAAAGACAAATACCATATGATCTCACTTATATACGGAATATAATGGACATAACAGTCTGAGGAATACAGTAGACCCAGACACATGGAAGTAGGGCACAGACTGACATCCCTTCGAAGAGGGGATGGGGTGGTGGGGTGGTGGCAAGAGATAAACCACAGAACTTATATGCATGTATGCATGACCAATGGACATGGACAACTAAGCCGGGGACGGGGCAGAGGTGGGGTGGGGTGGGGGGTGCCAATGGGGTAAAAAGGTAAAATATCTGTAACAAAAAAATAAATAAAAATTCATAAAAAAAAAAAAAAGAATGCAAGAACCCTAAAAAAAAAAAAAAAGATTTGCATTTTTGGCCCGGCTGCTGTGGGGAAATCCTGTATAGCTGAAGTGTTGACCAAGTACTACAAGCTCCATCACATTAAACTGAAGAACATCATTTCTGAAGCCATGGGAAAACTGGAGGCCACTGTGACACCTAAGTATGCCCCAGACGATGAAGGTGAAGATGAGGAGGAAGAGGACAGCGTGGAAGAGGCGCAGGAGTTCTTGGATGGCGTCAAAGAAAGCATGGAGCAGAACGCAGGCCAAGTGGAAGATCAATATGTAATTTGATTTGTGAAAGAAAAGCTAAAATCCATGCCTTGCAGGAATCAAGGTTACATTTTGGATGGATTCCCAGAGACCTATGACCAAGCCAAAGACCTGTTCATCCAAGACGACGAGGAAGAGGAGGAAGAAATGAAAGGCAAAATGTCTCCCTTTGATAAATTAATCATACTTGAATTTGTCTGTGCACTGGACGCCTCGGACGAGTTCCTGAAATTCCGGGTGATGAATCTCCCCGAGAGCGTTGTGGCAGGCACCCACTACAGCCAGGACCAGTGCCTCCGGGCTTTGAGCAACTACCGGGACATCAATACCGAAGATGAGACGGTCTTCAACTACTTTGATGAACTGGAAATCCACCCAGTACACACTGACGTAGGAAAACTTGAAGACACTCAGAACAGACTCGCTATCAAACAGCTCATCAAAGAGATTGGGGAGCCTCGCAATTATGGTTTAACGGAAGAGGAGAAGGCGGAAGAGGAGCGGACGTTTGCCGAGGAATGCATGACCAGGGAGGCCATAGAGGAAGCGAACCGGGAGCCCAGGGAAGCCACGGAGACAGCAGAGAAGATTGCTCGCTGGGAGGAGTGGAATAAACGACTAGAGGAAGTGAAAAGAGAAGAAACAGAATTCCTAGAGGCACAGTCTGCTGCCCTGAGGAACTATTTAATGACCTATGTGATGCCAATGCTCATGCAGGGTCTGAACGAGTGTTGTAGGGTCAGGCCAGAGGATCCTGTTGATTTTCTGGCAGAGTATCTCTTCAAGAACAATCCTGCAACACAGTGAAGCTGGAAAGACCTCGTGCCATAACCCTTTACAGAGCTAGAGATGACTTTGACATTTGATTTCAAAAACTGGTTTGAAATATGTTTTCCCAGTTTTTGGAGAGATTTTTTTCCCCCCTGCAAGCAAATATTTCATTAAATCATTATAAAAAGCTAAAAAAAAAAAAAAAAAAAAAAAAAAGAAGCAGAAACAAGAGGAGAGTCATTCTTTAAGTAGTGGGTAAGAATTTTGAATGTGTGGCTTTTTGCCCAAAGTATTTCCCAGTTCCCATAGCTCCACACTGGCTTTCGATGTCAGAGGACAAAGTTAAGAACTGGCAAGAAGCTTGGAATTTTGGAGGAAAAACCTGGAACTGAGAGAGCTGCCAAAGGGCTAAAACCCAAAGTTAGAATATAAATACTGCCAACCATACCTGACTGCTGTGGGTATACAGGAAAGAAAGACTGTAGGAGCCCTGTCAAAAAAGCACTGCAAACCATATAGGAGATAATCTTTGAAAGATGCAACTGCAGTGGGTAAGGCTTACTGCTTTTCTGACTAAGGGCTTTTTGTATCTGTGCATAGCTCCTGTGTTGGGAAAGCTGAATACTTACTGCCTTAGTTGGACTCCCATAAGTAGAGGAGAGAGAGAAAGAGGCAGAAAAATATTTGAAGAAATAATGGCTGAAAACTTTAATGTTTGGATTAAAAAAAAAACGAAAACAACTAGCTTAGAGATCCAAGAAGATCAGTGACTTAAGTAGAAGAAATACAAAATAAAACCACAACTAGGCACATTATAGGCAAATTGCTAAGTGCCAAAGATAAAGAGAAAACCTTTAAAACAGAAGAAACTGTGACATTAAATACAAGGGAATAATGATATGATTACCACTTGACTTCTCATTGAAAGCAGTGGAGGCTGAAAGATATCCAAAAATTATAATTAAAACAAAAACAAAACACAGCAAAACCCTCAAAGAAAAACAACTTTCAGGCAAATTTTCTGTATTTGTAGTTTGGAATAAGACAAGTTAACTGTCTGTTAGAAGAAAAGTTAACTATCTGGCCCTGGCTGTTTTGGCACAGCAGTTAGAACATCATTCCATGGACTGAAGGGTCTCGGGTTCGATTCCCGGTCAAGGGCACATACCTGAATTTCAGGTTTGATTCCCAGCTCCAGTCAGGGTTGTGTGTGAAGCAACCAATTGATGTATCTTTCTCACATTGATATTTCTCTTACCTTTCCCTCCTACTTTCTCTGTAAAAAAATTGCAATGGAAAAAAATATCCTTGGGTGAGAATTAACAGAAGGAAATAAATAAGTAAAAAAGGAACTTATGGAAAAAATATCCTTGGGTGAGAATTAACAGAAGGAAATAAATAAATAAAAAAGGAATTTCTGAAAAAAAAAATTAAGTATCTGTTAGAAGACAAATCAACAGTCATCAGAAGAACATAACAGAATCTAGTGGTGCTGCAAATTATTATCCACAGTGTCCAATTAACAGCAAAAGTATCCTTCAAAAATGAAGCTGAAATAAAGATGTTTTCAGATAAATAGAATCTGAGACTATTTGTCACCATAATATGTATTCTACAAGAAATGTTAATGGAAATTCTTTAGGCTGAAGGGAAATGACACCACCAGATGGTAACTTCATATAGTAGAGGGTGGTAAACTTTTTCTGCAAAGGGCCTCATGGTAAACATTACAAAGGGCCCTATAGTAAACCTTTGTAGATCATATGTTCTCTATTGAAACAACTCAGTTCTGTTGTTAAAGGAGCCATAGACAATATATAAATAAATGGGCAAGTCTATGTTCCAAAGAAACATTATTATGCACAGTAAAATTTAAATATATAATTTTCACATGTCAAAAAAATATTCTTCCATTGATTTTATTTTTCTTCAACCATTTAACAATATCAAAACCATCCTTATACAAAAATAGGTAGTGGGTTTGATTTGCCCTGTGGACTAATCCATGAATAAAGAAACCAGAAATAATAAATATGTATAAAAACAAATGACTATACATATTTTCTTTCCTTCTCTTAATTTTTTTTAAAAAAGATATGTGACTATTTAAGGCAAAAATTACTACAGTTCTGGTGGTTTAAAATGTGTCCACAAATTCTTTGCTATACCTTCCTTCAAAAGGCATGTGCTGTACTTAGTGACTCTCCAATAAGAAATGGAATGTGGCAGAAGTGAACTGTGAGCTTTGAGATCAAGACACAAAGCTATTGTGGCTCTTCCTCCTCCTTTTTGTTTCTGGTGCTCCCATATTTTCTCTGCAGTGACTATTCTCTGAGATTTGACAGGGAGGAAATTAGAGGAGTGGGGAGAAATTGGGGTTCTTGGTAGTATGAGATGCAGCCCCACTTCTGCAAAGGTGAGGAGCCCTGGAAAGGAGAAGGTATAAGATGGTAGGAGGAAGAGAAAGAGGGTAGAATAGAAAAACCTCATTTCAATTTGAACCCATATTTTTAAAAATGTATTTATTTATTTATTTATTTATTTATTTATTTATCTTCACCTGAGGACATTTTTCCATTTTTTTTATTCAGATAGAGCGGGAGGGAGAGAGAGGAAGAGAAAAAGAGAGAAACATTGATGTGAAAGGGACACATCGAGTGGCTGCCACCCACACGACCCAACCAGGGCCGGGGACAAACTGCAGCCAAGGTACATGCCCTTAGCAGGGACTGAACCCGGGTCTCTGTGGACAGCAGGCTGACGCTCTAACTGCTGAGCCAAACCAGCCAGGGCTGAACCCATACTTTTGACCTTCATTCTAGTCTTGGGACAATGGAGATGGTGATGTTCATGAAAATGATGAAGGGTCAGTAGTAGTCAGAAAAGGGCTGTGTGTGGGCTGGGCACTCCTAATGACTTCTACCTTGCTAACAGTGGCTGCCTTAATGTCCCTGACCTCAGGCTTTAGTTTAGTGTGGTTATACAAGTGATTGAAATTTAAAATATGCCATCTAACCAAAATGGACAGTTAACAACAGAAAGTTATCTGAGAAATTCTAATATATTTGGAAAATAAAAATGTGTAAATAACTCATGAGTTAAAAAAAAAATTCGTAAGGGAAACATCAAAGTATTTGATCTGAATGATAATAGAAACAACATATTACATCTTGTGTAATGCAATTGAAGTGCTTAGAAATAAATGGCTAGCTTTAAATCTTTATATTAGAAATAATAAGGTCAGAATATCACCAGTGATCTAATAAGCTTTCATCTTATGAAACTATAACAAGAAGAGCATATTAGACCCAAAACAAGTCGAGGGAAGTAAAAAAGTTAATAGCTAAAACCATTGAATAGAAAACAGACCATCAGAGGAAACCAAAAACTGGGTTTTCGAAAAGAGCAATGAAATTGATCAAGTTTGAGCCTTGCACGGTCCAATAGTACTTTCTGTGAAGATGGAAGTGTTCTCCAACTATGCTGTCCAAAACTGTAGCCATTAGCCCACATGTGGCTATTGAGCACCTGAAATTAAAAAAAAAAAAAAAATTTAAACTGAAGCTTTAATTAATTTAAATTTGAATGGCCACTTATGGCTAGGGGTTGCTGAATTGGACAGTGCAGTTCTTCCCATTCTGCTCAAGAAACATGAGCAAAGAGCAAATACTATTATCTGGATTTAAAGTAGACACAGTTACATATGGTACAGATCAAAAAGTTGAGGAGAAATGATAAACATTCATGTCAATAAATTCAACCTCGATGAAGTGGACAAATTTGTCTCCTGTCAAGAAGTCATCTAAATGGACCCAAGGAAAAATAGAAAATCTTATTAGTCCTATGTCTGTTAACAATATTGGATTTATAAGTAAAATTTTCACACAAAAACACAAGAGTTGAGACCCAGATGGCTTTAATCGCGAATTTTATTTAAGAAATGTTTATGAAAATAATAACCAGTTTTCTCCTTTTTCAGAAAATAGAAAAGTAAGGAACACTATAAAAATCATATCATGAGGCCAGTATTATTACTCATATACCAAAATCATACAAAACATTATAGGAGCTAAACTACAGAACAATATACCTCAACTCACAATGATAGATGTAAAAATCCTGAATAAGAGCACACTGAATTCAGGAATATATAAAAAAATAATATATAAACACTAAGGAATTTATTTCAGGAATGAAAGGTTGGGGTATGATAATAGAAAATCAATCAATATAACTCACCATATTAACCATCTTTTAAAAAACATGGTTATCTCAGTAGATGGATAAAAAGTTTGTCATAATTCTATACCCATTCCTATTATAAAACTTTTAGCAGCCTTGGAATAGAAGGCAATTTTTTTTTTTTAATCCTCACCTGAGGATATGTTTATTGATTTTAGAGGAAGGGAGAGTGAGAGAGCAACATCAATTGCCTTCCACACGCACCCTGACTGGGGATCAAATTACATAATTTAGGTGCATGGGACAACGCTCAACCAACTGGACCACCCAGCCAGGGCAACTTTTTCAACTTTATAAAGACTACACATGAAAATCCTACTGCAGACTCATACTTAATGGAGAAAGATTGAATATTTTATCCCTGACATTGAGAACAAGGCAAAGGATGTTTGCTTTGGCCACTCATTTAACATTCTACTAAAGGTAACAAAAAGAAATAAATGGTACATAGATTGAAAAGGAAGATGTAGACAGCATGATAATCTATATAGAAAGTGTTACGGTGTTTAAAAAATGCTCTTTGATTTTAAAGGTGAATTTAACAGTCTCATAGGGTACCAGGTAAATATATGAAATTAAATTGTAATGTACTAACCATGAATACTTGGAAAGTGAAATTTATAAATACCATTTATCCGTCTATGGCAGCAGCCTCCTAGATAACCCTAGTTATCCCCATCTTCTGGTGTTTACAGCTTTGTGTAATCTCCTCCCACATTTTACTAGTGTTGCTCTGTGTGACCTATAGGACATAGCAGAAGTGATAGTATGTCACTTCTGAAATTGTTATAAAG